TGTGGACGGTGGTGGCATCTTGGATGCTGTTGGTGACGTGGTTGGTGGTGTTGTGGATGGTGGTGGTATCTTGGATGCTGTTGGTGACGTGGTTGGCGGTGATGTGGATGGTGGTGGCATCTTGGACGCTGTTGGTGACGCGGTTGGTGATGACGTGGTTGAGGGTGACATGGTTGGTGGTGACGTGGTTGGTGATGATGTGGTCGTTGGTGGCATCTTGGCTACCGTTGGTGACGTGGTTGGTGGTGACGTGGTTGAGGGTGACGTGGTCATTGGTGGCATCTTGGCAACTGTTGGTGATGTGGTGGAGGGTGACGTGGTTGGCGGTGATGTGGTTGGTGGTGACGTGGTCGCTGGTGGCATCTTGGCCACCATTGGTGACGTGGTTGGTGGTGATGTGGTCAGTGGTGGCATCTTGGCCACCGTTGGTGACGTGGTTGATGACGACGTGGTTGTTGGTGGCATCTTGGCCACCGTTGGTGACGTGGTTGGCGGCGTCATGGCTGACGGTGGCGTGGTTGGCGGTGACGTGGCTGGCGACGCCACAGCTGACGGTGTCACCGTTGATGGTGACGTGTTTGGCAGTGCTGTGGTCGCTGACACCACGGTTGACGGTGACGTGGTTGACATCGTCACGGTTGACGTCGATGGCATCACGGCCACCGTTGGTGACATGGCTGACATTGTCACCGTCACCGTCGGCATCATGGCCGCCGCGGATGTCCCGGTTGATGACGGTGACGTGGTTGACACCGATGACACCACAGTCGTTGGTGGCACCGTGGCCAACATTGGTGCCACGGCTGACGTTGTCACCACTGTTGGTGGCATCTTCCCCACCGAAGCTTTTGTGGCCACCAGAGGTGCCACCGTGCTCGGTCCCTCGGCCATCCCCGTGCCCTCCTGGCCACCAACTGTCCCCCCCCGTGTCCCCTCAGCTGTCCCCTGTCCCTTCCAGCCCTTCACGATCTCCCTGACCGTCCCGCGGCCCTCGGTTGTCCCCAGGTCCTTCTTTGTCCCCAGACCATCAACTGTCCCCGGGCTGGTGGCCGACCCATGGCCCTTACCCCCCCTACACCCCTCAGCTGCCCCCTGCCCCTCTTTTGGGGCCTTCACAGACCCCCACCCCTTGGCTGTCACCAGCCCCTTCACCACCCCCCTCACCTCAGCTGTCCCCACATCCTTTGTCGTCCCCAGGTTGGTGGCCAACCCCTGGCCCTTCCCCTTCCCGTGGCCCTCAGCCCCCTGCTGGCCCTCCGTTGCCCCCAACCCATCAAACAACGCTCGCCCCTTGCCCGTCCCACGACCCTCACCCATCCCTCGCCCCTCTGCCCTCCCCACCCCCTCGCTGTCACCTCCTGTCAGCCCCTCGGTGGCCCCCAACCCCTCACCCAACCGTTGGCCAACGTCAGCCAACCTCCCACCGTTCCCCATCCCATCACCACCCCCTTGAGCACCCAACCCAACGCTTCCCCAACCCTTCCCCACCCCATCACCACCCCCCATCCCATCACCACCCCCTTGAGCACCCAACCCAACGCTTCCCCGACCTTTCCCCATCCCATCCCCATCCCCCATCTCTACCCCATCCCCTTGGGGACACCGTTGGGGACCCCCTTTGGTTGGGGGGCTCTCTGGGAGCCCCTCAGTGCTGAGTGACCGAGCTGGGGGTGGCCGTGGGGCGAAACGACTCAGCAGACGACTGACCCGACCCCGGGGGGCTTCGGTGGTACCGCAGCTCTCCAAACCTTCAGCGCTACGACTCAACCCCGGGGACAAAGTCACTGGGGGTGACGTCCCCATTGGAGGACCCCCCCCGGATCCCGCTTTTGCCCGCCGTCTTTCCAGCAGTTCCCTTTTCCACGGGGGCAACTGAGCTGCTCGGTCCCTCTGTTCCCGTTCCCGACGTCGAGCTGCTTCTTCTTCACGTCGGCGACGTTCCAAGAGTTGAAGCTTCCAACCCGGCACCGCCATGGCCTGGTGGTGGGAGGGGAGGTTGGGGACATCGGGAGCGGTGGGGGAAAGGAGGGGGGTGGAGATATGGGGGGGAGCGGGGATGGGGTCACCAAGTTTGGGGTCAACGGGGATGGTGGGGACATCAGGGATGGAAATATTGGGGTCAACATGGATGGGGTCACCAAGTTTGGGGTCAACAGGGATGGTGGGGACATCAGGGATGGAGATATTGGGGTCAACAAGGATGGAGTCACCAAGTTTGGGGTCAACAGGGATGGTGGCGAAAAGGAGGGGTGGAAATATTGGGGTCATTGGGGATGGGGTCACCAAGTTTGGGGTCAACAGGGATGGTGGGGACATCAAGGATGGAAATATTGGGGTCACCAGGGATGGGGTCACCAAGTTTGGGGTCAACGGGGATGGTGGGGACATTGAGGTTGGAGATATTGGGGTCATTTAGGATGGGGTCACCAAGTTTGGGGTCAACAGGGATGGAGAGGAAACCAAAGATGGAGATATTGGGGTCATGGGGGATGGGGTCACCAAGTTTGGGGTCAACAGGGACGGTGGGGACATTGAGGTTGGAGATATTGGGGTCACTGGGGATGGTGGGGACATCAGGGGTGGGGATTTGGGGACACCAGGGAT